CGCTTGTGCCTTACCTAAAGATTATATCACCTTCTGCATGAAGAAATCATGTACTATTTTCAATAATAATATCAAAGGATTCTTCCAGCCACGATCACCCGTCCCATAGCACAGCAGACGTAACTGTGAAATAATTGAATCATTTTCTGATTTTCTGAGTTATCGAAACAGCAACGTCGATAGACATCAGATTGCGCAGTCTGCTAGTTTTTATCCTTATCTGCAACCCGATTAATTTATCGGTCCAGCTATTTTTCTTTTAAAAAACACTTTCCTTAATCCCCATTAAGTGCATTTACTTCACTTCGAAAGCTAAGGTACAAAGCGCTTGGCGCCGTTTCTCTGATCATATCTACCATTTAATCAAGACGATACGAAAAAGCAAGAACATATTGTCATCCTCAGATTCATTTATTTCATGCAAACTGCTTTAATAAATTTCATTATGCACGATTAACCTGAGCCAAAATCAAGCCATAAAAATAACGGTCAGTCGCCATTAGCCAGAATTACTCGATTTTCCTTCTAGGACATCGTTTAAGACAAATTAAGTCGAAAGAAGCCTTCTTACAGCAAACTAACAGAACAGCATATGATAGACATTATGATTAAATGAATATGTCATGAAACCATTTGAGAAATTTTAAAATACCCTGTTCCTTACGCTTGTGTTACTTTGCTACCCTACTGAACAATAAGCTTACGCTAGTCTTGATTTCGTTAGGCTTTGTCTTCGGCAGGTTCAGTAAAATCGTTGTAAAAGCAGCTGATAAAAGTACTATATGCGGTATACAACCAAATTTTCCTTTTTTTAAAAGGCAATAGTTGAGGTAGCATGTGAATTTTCATAAACCTTATGAATACGTTCGCGAGCGCCACTTTTCCAATAACGGCCTTTACGACGCACTGCTTCGATCAGTTGCTTCTAGAGGCGTACAGGACCATTTAATCAGGTCACGACTCCATGGCATTTAAGCACCTGTAGTGCAAGCACGTCGCATCTTTTTATTGGCTAAAGACTTCGTTCATCATCAAAAATCCTTTAGGAGCTGGAACTCTTTATGCACCTCAGAAATTATCAGAAATATGGATTTAAAAGCCAACATATGGTAGCAAGCGCGTCATTTCTCCAGAACCAGATTTCACGACATACTGCTCTGTACCATACTGACTGATGCCCACAAAGGGACCT